CTTCCATAAGTGCCAACAGCTAATCAAGCGATACGAAGCATAAAAACTCCAAAACAATTTTCACTTGCAAATGTAAACCAAGAAACAAATTTGCAAGAAATTTTTGGTATTGAGCGAGCTGTATACGTTTTCTATTTAATTTGTTGAAATGATGGTCGAAGCGGTCAATATTAAGATCTCTATGAATGGCATTGTTGCGGATAAACCATCTGGCTCCCGTGAGTTTTCTCAAGATGTTGTCTTTTTCGGAGGCGTTACACCAGGCAGCTGAGGCAAAGATTGTATAAGTGTAAAGATGGGAAACTCGCGAAAGTCGTAACAAAATTTGGCACAATGCCAGCGATTCGTGTACGGCGGAGAAGTTTGTCTCCAGAGGCGGGCGCAGTGCAGCGCATGCGCAATATCATCCTTAGTTTTGGAAGGAGAGTTTGGAGAGAGAAGCACATGAGAAATCAATCAATGGCGGACGTTAATTTGACAATTATCCCTCACAAGTAAGTGCGCTTTGTATAACCTAACTTCTGTTGATTTTTATCTCCTTGTTTTCATTTTTCATAAAGATTGTAATCCTCTTTTTTTTCTTTCAGTATTTTTCAGTGATTTCGCAAAGCAAAGAATTGTGATAGATGTGCTTACTGCAATGTAAATAGAGCGGGTTATCCAAATTTGAAATTGTTTCGCGTTCCTCAAAATATCGAAATGTAAGTAAATAGTTAAGCATTTTCGAAGATTTCGGGAAATTATTTTTCAATGATTGATTATATGAACCTATTAGATAAGACTGACTTAGAATTGTAACTAAATGTGTGACTAATTTATAGTGTCTGACTTTAATTTAATTTCATTTGGTTTTTAAATTCTGTATAATTCCATAAGTGCGTTTATCTTTTTTGATCGGAGTTAAATATTTACAAATGAAATTTATATATATAACTAAGTAAAAATGTAAATGTTTTTCAAGAAATGTGAAAAAGATCTATAAATCTGACATTTTAAATTTTTGAAAGTTCATTACATACATGAAATTATTTAAATAGTGTTAAGTGCAAAAAGTGTTACTTTTTATTCATATAATATTTATAGAGTAGTGTATAGTAGATATATATATTTTATTTATCTGTTAGCTCTAAATGTCCAGTAAACAGTACCGTCTTTACTTATAGGCACACAGGGCAATGCCAGGGGACCCCATTTTCTCAGGGGCCCTAGAGAATCGTACTTTTTTGAAAAAATGCATTAAAAAAAATTTAAGACTAAAAACATTACCTTATATATTAAAAAAAATTTTTTTTATGGAGTATGCATTTTTTTTCTACAAATGGTGATTGCTTATCAGACACCAAGAAAACTTAAAACTTACTTATCACCAAGAAAACTTAAAAAGTCAACCGTAAACTATTTTTCGTATTTTATTATATGAGAATTACAACTGGTTAGCGTATCAATTTTTTTCAAACTATGCATAGTTTAAAAGTACTTTATTTGAGTTCTTGTGGTAATCAAAATTAGTTAAAATTATTTTAATAATGACATGATTTGCACGAGTTTGCATACTATACTTTTATAATTAAACATACGCGTTAATTTATTAATATAATGTATTTAATTATAAAAGTATTAATATCCATGTTAATACTTTTATAATTAAACATACAAATGGATTTTTATTCAGGAGATTTCTCATTCACCTCCTATTTGTATTTACGAGGGTTGTCCATAAAATAAGGTTCCCAACGAATTTTTACAATGAAAAATATGTTTATTGGCATTGAATAATATATGTTTGGAAAGCTTAGACTTCCCTCTATTTTTTGACATAATTGGCGTTTAGATCAATGCATTTTTGCATGTGGTGTACCATCTTCTTCATGCCTAAGTCGTAGAATTCTGCCGCCGCGACGCGAAGATAGCTTGAAACCTCTTCTTTCATTTCTTCCTCGGTTGTGAAATGCGTCCCTCCCAAGTGTTTCTTTAATTCAGAGAAGAGGCAATAATCACTGGGGGACAAGTCTGGGCTGTAAGGGGGTGTGTGACAGTATTCCATCCAAATCTGTTGATGAGAACAGTTGTGGCACGGGCGGTGTGCGGACGTTGCCGTTTGTTGTCATCCGTCAGCATTTTCGGGACCCACCTTGCACAAACCTTGGCATATCCTAAGCGGTCTCTCAAAATGTTGTGAATGCAGGACTCGCTGACATCAGGGATCATCTCGCTGAGGTTCCGAACAGTTACCCTTCGATCTTTCAGCATTGCTTCCACTTTCGCAATCGCTTTGTCCGAAAATGATGCCCGGCCAGAACGTTGTTCGTCTCTGCACCATTTGCAGACATGTTGCACATTCATACACTTTTCCCCGTACACCTCACACAGTTCGGAATGAATGTCCACCGGAGGAACGTTTTTTGCACACAAAAAATTAATCACAGAGCGTAATTCGCACCTGGCGGGAGAAACAAATGAGAGCTCCATCTTTCACGGCTACCAAGACAAGAATGAATGTTGTAGACAGCTCACCGGGGCGGGAACTGGGAGAAAGGGAGCTAAGCTTCATGCCAGTCTCGCCAAATCCCGCCTAACAGCGTTCCTAGCATCCGCAGCTCCTTGGGAACCTTACTTTATGGACAACCCTCGTATTTTTAACGTATTTCATTGTTAACCAACTGATACACTAACGTAGAGAAGTGGAAGCCGGTTTCAGCTGCGTAAAAACAATAAAGCTGTATAGTATTACCTGATAATTATAATTTTACATAAAATCTTAAAGTGCGTCTAATAATTTGACCAGGGACTGTATCTTAAAAATGATTTATTTTTTGCATGTGAAGTTTTTTAGTTTGTTTTTAAGCATTACGACTCATTATAGGTCTAAAATATTTTTGTGCCCTGGGCCCCTGCATGCTATGAAGATGATACTGCCAGTAAAACATAAATTTAATTGATTTTGTTATTTAATCACCAAATGAATTGTTTTGTTATTAAATTTCCTTTCTAAATATTTTCCTTAAACACTGCCTACTTTTTTAAAACTATTTAGTAAAATATTAATACTTAAGAAAAATAATACATATAATTTATTAATGCCATACATTTTAAGTTCCATTCTCGAATTAGACAGCATTCTTATGTCATATTAGCACTATAATCTTACTGTGTGATTTTTTTTTAATATTAGGTGCAAGAAATGATTAGAGGTCAGCAGAATTGTATCGTTACTGAATGTTGATACTGACAGACTGACTACACAACAGATGTAGATTGTGTTCAAGACATACTAAAATTAAAGATTATGTATCAAAAATAATGCAGACTTGTTCCTAGTGCAGTTCCAATGAACCAATATTGCATCTTTTTAATTTTATGTTATTTTATTTCATAAACTTGCTCAAATATTTATTTATTGTATAAAATGTATGCAATCTTATTTGGGTAATTTTTATTTTATTGAAAAGTATGTTCTTAAAATATATAACCAGAAAGAATATTTTTAGATAAGTTTAATAAAGAAAAAACAAATACTGCAACAAGTGTCTTGTTTATTTTTTTAAAACTCTAAGCATATATATAATTGAAAATTTTTATTTATATATAGCACATTTCTTATACATATACACACATGGAAAAATTAACAAAGCGAAAAAGTTTTTTTTTCAAGGGGAAATAAATTTTACTCAATTTTTTAAAGTTTTAATGAATTTTTATTTTTTAATATAAATTACTTTAGTTAAATAAATATTTACTACTTTAAAATAAATTATAATCCTGCTAAATTTGTGAACTGAAAAAAATTTAAAAGCAAAATCGAATACGATTATAATTAACGGAGAAAATATTGGGTGAAAATCAAATGATCTGCGCCCGTTCTTCAATCGCTCTTAACGGTGGCTTTCCTGCATTACACCTTCAGCGCCCAAGTTGGGGGAAAGATCCTTACGACTTAAGGCCGTTGGCACCTGAAAAAGGAAGTNTGTCGCAGGTAAGCGTCTCATACAACAACGCCCCCTATAGTTCGTTGCGATCGCGAATTGAGAACCGCTACTGAAAAATTAATTTCTTCCAGATTAAATAGTTCATTAAAATTCGTTGGCAATGGCTTTTCCTATGATGATGTTTATTGACATTCTGAGAAAACTTTTGCTTATTAAATGATAAATAATGTAATTTTGGATTCGAAAACTTTTGTGCGGGTTACAGAGTGTTGTTTTCCTAGAAATCTGTTCAATAAATTAGCGAATCTCTGTTAAAAACTTGGGACACTCTGTTTTTACACTCTCTTTTCAGGTCTGAATTTAATTCAATTTGATCGTTGATTCGTAAATTTGATCTGTTTTATAGCGAAATGTTTGCATCACGTTACAATGTTCACAAAACGTTTCTTGTTCACAAGAATTAAATTTTTATCAATTCATTTTCGGTATTAGTATATCGTGTTTTTCATTATCAAATGCAACAGTCTATCTGACTAATGTATTATTTCCAGATGGATATTAGAAATTCTATCATAATTCTCTTTCAAATTCATGATTGACGCACCAACGCAAACATTGTTACCAATTTTAGTTCTCTGTATTTAGTTGATAATCAATTAAATAAATTTTAATTCACATAAGTCGTGTAATTACAAGAATATGCAACTTTTGTTTTTATCATAACTGTTTAAGAAATTGTACATAATGTTGTGTTTTTTACTACATGATTTGTATCTGTTAAACAAACTTTAAAATATTTTTTTTCTCTATAATTTGGGGACATTCTCACATCATTTACAATCACTAAGCTGCCAAATATATTTTAAACTTGCAATTTAAAAAAAAATTCTAGAGGTTTGTTTGGAGGTGGCTAATGAGTTATACTCTTTGTGTGGTCCCCTTCTGTGATGGATTTTTTAATATCTCAATTGTTGCTGCCTGGGAGTTGTCATGACTTGGCAATATTTCTGATGCAGTTTCATTTTGAAATTTAAAGTAAATATTGTTAAGCATAATAATTTAAATAATTTTCCTGAAGGACTTAAAATTTGAACAGTGAGTTTACTTAAAACAGTAAGCTTAACAAATGTTTTATTTTAAAATTTACTTCGCCATGTTACATGTTGTATAAATGCCATTGATAGCCAAATATAGTGATGTAAAATTTAGCTCTCATCATTAACAAGCTTTCACGTAACAGCTTTTTAAAAGTTATTTATTTTATTCCCAATGCCACCTGGGTTGACATTTTGTCAAGGCTTCGTTCTCTGTCAGGGGCACCATATTAAGTGAGCCAACATTGCTCCCACAGTGAGGACAGATAGTACCAGATTTCACAGAGAATGAAAGGACATCCATGCCTTGTCCGGGATTTCAGACCCTTTCTGATGCTAGGCGAGTACATCCAGTGTTTAGTTCCCAAACTTGCTCGGTTCTCATTTTATCAACCCTCTGAAGGGATGAAAGACTAGTCAACATTGCCCAGCCCCTAGGATCGAACCAAGGTGACCTGTGCCACGGCAACACGAAGCGCTACCACTCAGCCACCGAGCAATCAAAGGACTTATACAATGCTTAAAAAAATTATTGTCACAGATTACGGCTGTCTTTTTTTCCAAGTCTTAGTGACCTTCATCCAAGTCTTCATAAAGTAAGGAAACCATTGTAGGTGATTTAAAAATATTCTTGTGAAGAAGTTTGTGCATTGAATGCCTAATCATGATACTTTTTTCAATTAAATGCATTAAAATTTGAAGTTTTTTATTGTTAAAATTATTTATTTCCCTTTTGAAGTAGGCTCATTTCCATTTACTTTGAATTATCGAGACAAAACTATTGGTATAATTGCTTACAAAATATTTTGTACCAAAAAACTGTTTTAAGATTTAAGAATTCGGTGAGTTTTTCAAAGTTATAATTGGATTTTATTTTTCTAGGATGTCGAATCATTCGGAAAGATCCTATTCTTTCAATACAAGTGGTAGCAGTTCTCCTTTGCCTTCTCCTATTCCAGCTTATCGGGGAGGAAAGACAGCACTAGCTAAGAGATCGAAATTTTTACGACGTTTAATTTATTTCAAACACATGGACTTCGAATTTGCTTTGTGGCAAATGTTAAGTTTGTTCGTTTCTCCTCAGAAAGTGTAAGAAAACTTTCTCATATTCTTATTAAAAATGTAGCTAAATGTAACATATGATGTAAATATGTAAAACAAAATAACGTAAGAAAGAGTGTGTGGGCTTTTTAAAATAACAACTTTTTTAAGATTATAAATCAAGAAATTTAAGAATCAATCTACCAGTTAATGTTGATTTATATATGAATACTTCAAACATTTAAGCTCACTTAGGAGTTTTTCAAAGGGATGTAATCTTTGAAAGTATTTTAATTAGATATTATTATTTCGCAACATCAATTTTTAAAAAATTTATATGTAACAGTAATAGGACAGTAATAATATGTAATTTTTTTGGATTTTTAATTGCTTTAATTTAACTAAATTATGGCTTGATTAGACCGCTTCGCAATATTGTGACAAATTTTACAATCTGATGGTCTAGTAGCTGGAAATCTTTTATCACTTATTATTTTCAGCATTTACATGCATATTTCAGTGTTAAGGTACTAACTCCATTAAAATGAAAATGTTGGATGGATTATATAGATCAGCAGTTTCATTATGGTGTTCTGTAGAACCTTGTGGTTAAAAGCTCTAACTTTCTGAACCTTAGGGATTCTGAAAGTTAGGACTTAACCAGTTTCGATTTTCGAAACTTTGTATTAAATTTAAATCCAGTTAATTATGAAATTATTTAATTAAAATGCTTGTTAATGCAGAGAATTCAAACAATGTTTTTTTCTAATTACAATATAATCAATGAATTACGAAAAGGATATGTAAAATTGCATTAGTATTTTGCATTGATTAAAATTAACCAAAATCAACGATACAGTACATTATATGTTTCTCTAACCATGATTAGAAAATAAGCACAAGTGATTTTTCAACCATGAATAAATTCATTTTCTTTCTATAAAGTCTCCCTATATCAGACCATTTGGAAATTCAATATTTCTTGCAATAACTATGAGATATTGTATATTTCGCAGACTAAGAGAGTCCAAAAAATAAATAATAAAAATAGATAAAAAAATAAACAAAAATAAAGGAAAAAGGTTCTTTGAATATTTGATTGCTACATATTCTTGGGACTTAAAGCATAGTTTTGAAGTTGACAATTTGGAGATTATTTTTTAACTCTAATTGCCATCTTGAAAATGATTTTTTGGAATAAAGATGGGCAATATTGTTAATGAAAAATTTATTCTCAATTTTCATCTATAACCTGGAAAAACTTGTTTTATTAATTTTGTTTCTAACATATGCTTTTGTCTCATTTCCCCCTTCCCTTGGCTCTCATCTCACCCTTTTCCATTTTGTTGTGCCTTTGTTTTTTAGTTCTTCCTTGGATGAATTTTTCTCTAACTTATTCTTCTAACATTTTTCTTCCATTGCCGTTTTTATATGCCAGATCAAAAAAAGCTTATTCTCTTCTAAGTACATAGTTGTTTTATTCTGTACTTGATGTCTTAAGAAACGTTAATGAATATTCAAATAAAGTTAACAATTTTATTTCTGTAACTGTATGCAAGCAGATATGATAAAGAGCTTTAACTGAGATTTTATATTTTTACCAGAAGCCATTTATGTGACAGTGTGATCAGTTTTATTTTATTTTTGAGTTGAGTATTATATTATAGGAATATATAAGATTAAGTATGGCTTTTAGTCAAAAATATTTGTTTTTTGTACCAAATTTAACGTTCAATTTTTTTTCCTTTTTAAAGAATGCTTATTATTATTATTTTTTTTTTTTAATTTTCAATTTATTCTTGTCTTGCATATTTTTATGTATTAAATATTTGATGTTTATGTTTTTATATTTTTGTTCTTTCCCTTTTAGGTACAGAAATTTTCAATATAGAAAACGTAAGTATTTTCTATCTTTTGATAAATATTTTGTTTAATTTTGCAGACTGTCAATTTATTATTTTTGTATTTTATAATTTAGTGATATGCTTTCTTATTCATTGTCAATCAAAGTATTTATCGGATTATTCTTTTTATTAATAGGCTAGTTACTTATTAAGTAAAGCTTTTCTCATAAGATTGATCCAGTCTTAGTAGTAAGACCCCATTTTTAATTTTAATGAAGAAATGCAATTTCGAATTTTATTACTATCTTAAGTGAGGCATTTTAAGACTTGATATTTAAAATAAACTTTTAATCGACACAATTGACCATAAGTCTGATATTTTATTTGGTTAATTATCTCAAGGTGTTAATGTGTTTGTTTTGGTTTACAAATTTTCATAAAGTTGATTTTTATGTGTGATGTTATTCAAATATATCAATAAATATTTCTTCTTTCAGAAACGAAAAATCAGTTTGCAAGAGATGATCCTGCTTTCTTAGTATTACTAAGTTTTTGGCTGATAGGTATGAATCAGCTTTAATTTTTATACTTTAAGATTTCTTCTGATTTTTTAAAATTATGTATACCAATATACAAAAAGCAAACAAATATGGATATTAATTTAAAAAATATTAATCACATTGTAAATGTTATTAGGAAACTATGAAAAGGCTGTCGTTTTCTTTAAAGTGTAAAATGTGATAATTATTATATACCTTATTTGTGTTTTGTTGCATAATAAGTGATAATTGTTGTTCAGTAAAAGGAAATATGTCATTTATGCAACAATTATTTATTTCTCAAAACTATAAATGATATTTTGAAAAAAGTGGAGAGAGTACTGTTAAGAAACTTTTGCATTTAGGAGTTAGGTCACTATTAGAATAAAAACTAAGTTGTTTTTAAGAGTTTTTCAGAAAGTTTTTTGGGGAATTTTTCTCAAAGAATTCCTCAGTATTCTTTATAATAAAAAAGTTATGCAAAAATTGAAACTATCATTATGTTAAAAAATATAATTTTAAATTTGCAGTTAAAATTTAAAGTCAATTACTTGAATTCTACCGAAGTTATGAATTTTTTTTCCTTGCTGATGAAGGCTATAAATTGATAATATATTGGTCTCAAGCTCAATGGTCATTCTCAAGCTTGTTGCAATGTTTTGTTTCATTTTTCTCATGCAGTTATGTATGGCCAGTATTCATGTATAAATGGCCAGTATTCACAACAACTGGGTTTTTGCAATATACTGATTACAAACTATTGTCATACTGCTTTATTATTGAACTTGCAATTAAAAAAAGATGTTTTTATATATTCCTCACAGTGTGTAAAATTAAACACAGAATACCTCAATGACTTTTGATCTGCTGATTGATTTCTTTGTCAACAGTGAATAAAAATTAATCTAATTTAAAATATTATTTCAAAAATGTATTTTATAATGGTTTTATAAAATATATTTATCAATTGATAAATATGTTCATCTAAAATGTATCAATTAATTTTTTTCTAGTGTCTTCCATTGGTTTTGCTATTGTATTGCAGCTTAATTTTTTAAGATTCTTGAAATTCCTCTCATGGGTAATTTTCATAGATTGCATTGCTGTAGGAATAATTATATGTACTATACTCTGGTGAGTAGTTAAAATTTTTTCTAATATTTCATTTTTGAACTTTAATTACTAGTCTTGTTTTAAGTTAGTGTTAATTAGTTAAATAATTATATCAAGTTTCTTGTTTAATATTCAGTTTCAAGCAGAAAATCTTGTTTTTAAACTTGACTTTGTGGCATTCTAAAAGTAGAATTAATAAAATTTTTATAAATGTTTATTATATTGCTTATCATCTAGCAGAGTTGCCTTGCCGCAGGGCAAACCTGGAAAATACATGGAATTTAAAAATCATCTAAAAAAAACTGGGGAAAATGCAGGGAATATCAATTTTCCCTTATAAAATGGGGAAATGCAAGAATTTTTTTTTCTTTCAAAGCGCTATCAGTAGGATATTTAAAGGTAGTTCAGCTATAATGTGCTTTATTTAGTTTTTTATTTATTTTAAGTTTGTTGAACTGTTTTTCTAGTAATCAAAACTAGTATAGTTATCCTAATATAGCTCACAAGTAAGATAAGTCATTGTGTAGATCCTATCAACATTACAGGAAAAACACTTGGTATTTTTTTCCCTCCAGATTTAAGTGGCAACCCTGTCTAGTTTTCTGAAGTATAATGTAATCAAAATGTTTCCAGGCATTTTATTACCTGTGTGCATTACTACTCATAAAACTCCCAATAAATATAAAGAAGGTGACAAAATTACACTTAGTAATAAAGTATATTTAATTTATTGGATTATACTTTTTCATTACTTATACTTTTTATCAAAAGGGATAAGGCTTTTTAATTGATATTCCTTGGAAACTATTCAATATATTTTTTTTACTATATTCATAGAATGCATAATTTTACATTTTGTAAATTGTTTATTTTTTAAAATTCAAAAAAAAAAGTTTCTCTCATTATTTAAATCATAAAAATTAATAGCTATTAAACTTTATTTTTCATTATAATAAACAAATTTATAAAATTTTATTTATCTATATTTTTTATTAATTTTCTTGTTTATCTAAGAGAAAAAAGAAACATTAAAAAAGTACAATTTTTTTTCACTTTTTTAGGCTAAATTATTGAGACCAAAATTTTCTGAGTATGGTTGTTAGATATTTAAAGGGTTTCAATACGTATTGAAGAAAAAGTATATTTATTTAGAAAAGAAATGTTTTTTTCTTTTCCCACTTCAGTTTCTTAGCAATTAATGTTTAACACTAATTATTATAATAGCTTAAGAGAACTCTTCAAGCCTTAACATTACAATGTAAATAAACATTTGAATCAAAATTTATTATTTTAGACTTTATTCAGGGTGGCCACTCAAAATAGATTTCAAATTTCCCTGATTTTTCCAGGTTTTCCAGGTAAAAATCTTAAAATTTCCAGGTTTGCGTTTTTTTCTTTTTTTCTTATGAAGTGTAGGATGTGTACAAGAAAAGTGTCTGTATTATAAAATATCTTATTCAAAAATGAATAAAA